ATACTGGGTATTGAACCTGGGACTCTCTATGACTGAGCTATATCCCCAGCCCTTTTTATTTTTTGAGACAGGGTCTCACTATTGCCCAGGCCGGCTTTGAACTTACAATCCTCCCACTTCAGCCTCCCAAGTAGCTGAGATTGTAGGCATGCACCACCATACTTAGCTGGGGTAACTGCATTCTTGGGTAGTTATACAAATATGCTGTCAGGTGTAATAGGAATGAGAAGGAGACTTTGACCAAAGTCCTTCCTTTCCTTTTCTTCTACAAATCAATTTATAATGAGCATGTGTAGTGCAGCAGGAGTAAGGGAGTTAAGTGATGTAGCAAGGGACAAGGACTGCTGGTTGCAGAGTTACTGGAATTAGCAAGTAGGAAGAGCCCAGAGGAAGCCTTGCCCATAGGCTGCAAGGACATGGGCAGTGACAGGATCTGATTACATAACAGAGGGAGAGAGGAAGGAACTGGGTGGGCACTCTCTGAATAGCATGCCCCATGCACATGTTTGGGCTCCTTAGAAGCCTCCTCCCCTAAATTCTCAGGACTGCTTTGCATCTCCATGATATTAAACCATCTCCTATCTCCCCTGCATCCATGGCACTCCTACCACACTAGGAGTATAAAGGGCCCTGCAGACAGGAGTGACTGCAGATGACTATCCCCCATTCAGAATCCGAAGCTCCTGGCCCAGCACCTGGCACATCATCATTGTGCTGGAAATGTTTGCAGAATTGAGTTTGCTGAGATGCAGTGAAATGCATTGTCACCTTCAAGGCAAGGAAGTGAGGAACACACAATCCTGGGGCTGTGTCCTCAGTGGGGATCCCCTTAGAAGCAAACCCTGAGACAAGGATTCAAGCACATGCAGTTCATTTGGGAGGTGAAAGAAACACCAGAGGGGCACAGAGAAGTGAGAGGAGAATGGAAGGCAGTCAATAAAGGGCATCTTGCCAAGCAGCTCAAGCCCACTGGGGAAGCCCCGGGAGCCCTTGTGGAACACAGGAGAGGGACGAGGAAGCTGGGGCAGGTACACACCATTGCCCATCAATTGTTGGTTGAGGGCTGTTGAAGAGGTTGTGGTGTGCCCCCCAGTCCTACACTATACTCCAGGCCCTCCATGTGAGTGACACAGCAGGCTCAGTGGGAAGAGAAAGCTCTTAGGCAAAAGCAGGAGACTGCAGCTAGAAGATAGACAGGTGAGCAATGAAGTGGTAAGGACAAGGTCACTGGTTCCCAAACTTTATTACCCAAAGGGTTTAGCCCCACCCCTAGAGTGTGGGGGGAGGGCAGTATGTCGAAGGGATCTGCATCACAACAAGTTCCCTAGAGCTGCCTGTCAGGCTCTGCTGAGGACGCAGGCAGGGCACTAACTGGTGGTACCAGAATGCATGCCAGAGGGAAATGCAATGCCTAGGATTGGCAGAGCTTAGAGACAAAGGCAAAGAGGTGAGCTACACTCCTGTTTTGCCCTCTGCAAGAGAACACTTCCCTCTTCATTCAAAGTCTGCATGTGGGAGTTGCATGCCTGTGGAGATGGGAACATACAGCTGACTTCTCTGCACCTGCTGTGGCTAAGGCAACTCCCTCACAGCACCCTCAGCATGCTACCTCCCAGTGACTTCTTCCATCCTGGTATTTTTCTCTGGATGTAGCCTAACAAGCTTAGGTCCTGGTGACAAAAAGCACAAACAAGCATTTCAGAAGGGATTCAGCATTTGGCTACATAATTTAGTTCAGCTGGGGATGAACCTTGTTCAGAAAACTGCTCCTCCCAATCTGACCCTGAGCTGGCCAGGGTGGCTGAAGGTTACACTGAGTCCTTCTCCCTCCCAATTTAGGAATCGTTATATATTGACCTTGAAAGCCTCTTCCTTTGCTCTGGCAAGGGTAAATCCTCCAGAAGATACCCCCCAAATCATTCTTTTATCATCCTACACTCATTCACTGACTTTGATTACCAGAAAAATTGCAGGCCTCCCATCCTATGCTACTTATTTACAATAAGAGTACATGCTTGCAGGAAATGCAGAATCCTGAACAAAAACTGGTGCTTATTTCACAATACCAAATTTGCACTTGAAAGCTACACCATGTGTTTCAACACACAAAAGCATCCATGACCTCTTAAGAGATGAGCAGGAAAAGGCAGAGAGACAGAGATAACAAATTTCCCCTTCACAGAAACAGAGACACCCTCATTTATCTTTTACAATGAGCACCCCCAGTAAAGAGTGCAGCAAAGCCACATGGACACACTTCCATTTTGAGATGGGGTCACTGCCATAAAAGCCACGGGGTTAGGCCTCAGACCACTGTGAATATCTGGACCACCCAGTTCAGGAAGTTGGTCACTATAGAATGCTGAGGTCGACACCTCTTAGGAGGAGCTTTAATTAGCTGCAGTCCAGAGCTTCATGGCAAGGGGAAAAAAAAGCTTCGGCCCCTCGCAAATAGGAACATTTTTTCAGCTTTCCCAATGGGTTGCCAAGTGATTCAGCATTGGCCCAGTGTGGGCACTATTATTGATGAGAAATCTTCCGCCTGGGTGATATACTGCATAAAACACATGCCCAAAGAACAGTGCCAAGTCATGCCAGGAAGAAAAGGCGAATTATTCACCTCCACTTCAAATGCAGGCAAATCCTTTCTTAATGCAGGGGCTACTCCATATCAGAAAGACAAAGCCCTGATAGTCAGAGATTTCCATCTAAGATTCAAGGAATTATTAGGCAGAGTCCCTCCTTTCTTGTTGACTATTAAAAGGCAATCAAATTGAGGACAGCAGAGAAAAAGGGCAAGAAAAAATTTTCTTTTTCAAAAACAGGCCCAAAGTAGAAAGCTGCATAAAAGCTGTCAGCTCATTGTGTTCTTTATGAGTAGTATGAGCTCCACCCAGAGGTCATTTCTAGAACTGCAAGTTCATTTAATTTGGAGAAGGAAAACCTCCATCTTTTGGGGTCCAGGGCGGGACCAGCCTCAGAGAATTGCTGGAAATTCTTGGAAACATCCTTCATTCTTGCCTTTCATTAAAGGCACTACTCTGAAATCTGAAAGATAAAATATACCTGGGGAACCTAGCGAGATCCAGGAGGAAAATTGCCTTTGATATTTGTACCTGTCGAGGAACTAGCAGAGTTCCTGGCAGATTGAACTCAGCTCAAAGAAAGCAGAGTGTTCAAAGACTACTTTTAGAAGAAAAACTGACAGCTCTCATGAAATAAAATCGAAGACTGGAGAGCAACTCAGAGGGCAAGCAAGAACACGTCTAATATTAGAAATACTGGGAAGAGTTCTCCTTTAAGAAGGAGGTATGATCTGCTTGCCTAGAAAGCCCAAATGTAAGGCACCCACTCCCTTATGGAACTAGGAAGATTGCCCGGAGGCAATCTTGATGCATACTTCTCAAAGAACTGACTGAAGTTTCCAGAACATTCCCAAGTATCTGTCCATTCATAAAACACACACACCCTCACAATCCACCCCACCCTTGTGGCCTTGTACTAATTCATACATACACTACCCCAGTCCCTAAGGAGTTAGGCTAAAGAGCCCCAAATATGCTGAGGCCTCAACTGCCCAATTCTGTTCCAGATATCCCAGATATCTACCTTCTGGAGCACTTTCCATAACATTCTGTGCACACCTGTCCTTTCATGACTTAAAAGACAGCTTTGACAGACCTTGGAGGGGAAAACAAAATCAAATTTACCATTTGTCTTCCTCCAGCACTCCCCCCCACCACCACCCAAATTCTTTCTTCACTAGAAACACTGAATAGCCTTTTCACATAAAACATCTATGGCAAGGTCATATTAAAGCTCTAGAAAATATCCTTGCTAAACTTCTGCACACTCCCATTTCAACAAGTCTAAGCATTCCCAGAATGTTGCCTTCTTTGTTTCTTGATCATAATGCAAAAATATTTCCGCTTGGGGTTGGGGATATAGCTCAATGGTACAGTGCTTACCTAGCATGCACAAAGCCCTTTGGGTCTCCAGAACCAAAACAAAAAATAATTTAGTGCCCATGATGACTCAGTAGGATTCCCTAATGATAACAATCACACTGGCCTAAATCACAAATGTTCAGACTCTACCCTAGATCCATGAACCAGGCTGGGAAGGGGATCCAGAAAGCTATAAAATTTCTAGACATCCCAGGTGATAGCTATTATCAGAAAGGTTTCAAAACATCTCTTGAAAGAAAAAAAATGCTCCAGATTTTATAGTCTCCCAGCTGCAGAATGGCATCCATGAACAGTGTACCAGGCATGCTATACCCACTAGAGCTCCAGTTCCATCAGAATACCTAGAATTAAGATAGGCTCCATTTTTTTTAATTTTTAAACAACAATACTCTTCATTCTTTCCTCATTTATTCCCTTATCTTGTTTATGGTATCAGAAAAATTTACAAGGCCCACCAAGTTTCTACTGCTAACTTTTATACTCCTACACAATGGTCTACTACTGGTTCACAATTGATAAGCATGGTCTTTGGATCATTTGTGTTAAATGATGGGCTAAGAAGTAGATCTATTTGGTTACTGGAAAGGATTTGCCTCAGGACATTTGCACACATCATGCACAGAGAAAAGGACACATGGCCAATACAGGTTTTCTTCTTCTTTGCATCTTGAGGGCTCTTCTGCCAGCTGCTCCCGATGGCTCCCAACTGCTCTGCATTCTGCCATATCCAATGGAGGTTTATGGCAAAATTCACTAGGCAGCAGGCCATGAGGCTCTTATAGACAGCAATTAGAAGGGAAAGATGAATTATTGGGTATTTGAAAATGCAGTTAGAGAAAGAAAAAGTCAGATGTTATTTTCTCTTAACCCCCAGTGATGAAATCTATTTATTCATCCAAAAGCACACACCTAAATCTGGGGTCATTCAGAACCAACAGCTCAGTCAATATAAAAATCAACTACACAGTCAATGTCATCATGAAAATCCATTAAACCAGAAATCATATTTTGTTCATCAAAAGGAATTCTTACCTTTTCTTTGGCTTTCTTTTTCGTCCCTGCATCCATCCAGTCATTTTCTTTCTCCAGCATATCAATGAAGGCCCAGCGAACACCCTCAATCAATTCCTCCATCTACAAGAAAATACCCAAAGAAGAAGTGTCAAAGACAAAAACTTCAGACAAGGTTTTCTGAACTAAAATTAGCTTGTGTAGAAATAGTTCAATGTTCAATATGATGAGGAAGAGGTTTTTCCAGTTTGACCCCATATTCTGGCAGCATTTATTCTAAAACCAGTAGATTATAGCCTTTTCTTTCCATGAGAATAACTGGATAGCCCAGCTGTGAAAGGATAATGTGTTTTTATTATTTCTAATAGGTTATGACTAGGTGGTGATCTGCTTAAGCCAATTTCAATAATTTAATAGGGATCTGAGAGAGACTAATAAAGGCACAGACTGTGTATTTCAGATAGGTATTGCAGAAGAAAGTGAACGAACAGTTGGAAGTGGTACTGTTAACCAAGAAACAGGCAAGAAGAGCCATTACTCCAAAGAGTGCTTTGCCAACATGAATCAGACTTATGCCAAGACCCCAAATCTTCCCAAATTTAGTGCCACTGGTCAAATCAAATGCTTGGCTGTTCTCTATCATCTTTCTACCCTCTTCTCTACTCTCTTTTAGCTCAGCAAAGTCCCATTATTTCAGATCTAGAATGGCAGATGCAAAGGGAGCTTCTACAGAACATCTTCTAAAAGGCCTGTTCCCAGAAGTTCAAAGAGTGAGGCTACATTCACAAAGAGGACAAGTTTGCCCTAGCTTTACTGCCAGCATCTGCAGGCCAAGAGAGGACTGGGAGAAAAAAGACTATGACACTTAATTTCAGAAGCCACACAGCAATATGAGGAGGCTGTGCCTGTCTGTGAGTGCATACCCCTCAAAATCCTGTTCTCCTACAGAGACGCTCTGGCTTCCTTAACAGGACACCCAAGAAAGAATAAATATTGAGATCTGGCCCCAGAATTAAGTTAAATTTGAGATTATGGGATTATAAATCAATTTTAACATTACCTCTAGAAGGAAAACAGTTTAAATGTTTCCTTTGTTCTATAAGGAATTGTAGGCAGGAAGCTCAAAATAATTTTTTTTCTGTTTAATAAGTTTTCAGCTATGTTTTCAGTTCAATAACAGTTGTAAGGGAACCAGAGCTGTAAATCAGTGGGCTGGGTTCCATCGTATGTAAATAAGAACAAACAGCAGATGGAAGGGGGTAGGGGGAGCTTCACAGCTATTTCTTCCCAACTTAGTAAAAACATGTAAAAAGAAGAGAAACCTCGACTTGGGATTGGGGCATAAGAAAACATGAAATAATGGTAGAGCATAAAAAGCATTGTCAATGGTTCTCAACTTTATCTATACATTGGGAGCTTTGGGGGAACTTAAAAGAAAACTGACAAAAAAAATAATGAAACATTTTAAATTAAATAAAAAATCCTGAGGCCCAGGCATCAGGATGTTGATGTCATTAATCTAAGTTCTAGCCTGGGATCTAGGAGTTTTTGAAAGCTCAGCAGGTGATTCTAATGTGCAGCCAGGGTTGAGACCCACTGATCTAGGGGAAGCCATTTATTTTACAAATAAGGAAATTAAGAGCTGATGATCTGTCCAAGATCATATAGCCGGTGAGGGTCAGAGCCAGGCCCTGACCACAGAGCTAAAATGACAATTGTGAGCTCAGAGTTTGTAAGAGCAACAACAGTGTCCTGCATAAATTAGACGAAAATGCCAGGAAAGTGGAAGGGAACCAACTGAAAAATGCAGAAGTCAACATTTTAAACAGAAAACACACATAAGGAGGGTGTGAAAATGGCCAAGAAATCTCCAGAGACTAGATCTTCTGCATACGCAGTCATCAGCACCCCAAGTCTTTGTGACCTCATCACGCAGCAATGGACTTCAGCCACCCCATCACCTACATGTGGATAGAGAAATACATCCTCCACATTAGGGAGGGGCAATGGGGATGGAAAAAAAGCTAGGAGATTGATTTGAGAGATTTAGTAACCAAATGAATGGAACCAGGTGATTAATTGTATGTGGGAGGCGAAGAAAACTGGGAAAGTTAGATTAATTCCTAGGCTAGGCTTCAGTGGTTATTGTTGCCATTCTCTAAGACCAGAAGCATGGGGAGAGGAAGAGGGATAGGGACAGAAGCCAGATCACAGGTGCCTGGGGTTATAGCTCAGTTGGTAGAATACTTGCCTGGAACATGTAAGGCACTGGGTTCCATCCTCAGCACCACATAAAAATAAATAAATGAAATAAAGGTATGTGTCCATCTACAACTAAAAAGAAAAAAAAAGAAAAAGAAGCCAGGTTACAGTGGAATGAGGAGAGCACTATGAACTAAAAGAGTTAAGGTATAGATCTGAGGGTTTGGTTTTGGGCATGTTTCCTGCTACTCCTGTTTTTATTGTTGTTATTTTATTGTTGCTATTGAACATGTGAGATATTTGACTGTGTTTGAATACAAATGGAAAGGATCCAGAAGAGAAGGGATTGGGGAAGAGAGAGTTATTAATGGTCTCTGAAAGGGCAAAAGGAAAGATGGGGCTGGAACCCAGAGACTATATGCAAGGATTCATCTTAGAGAGGGGACAGGACTATGAGAGAGGAGAAGGATAAAATGGATAAAATAGTGCACATTTTGCAGAAGAATCTACAGATTAGATGGTAGAAAGTTGGGAGAGTCCTCATTTAATCATGTGGCTTTTTTCCATTAAATAGTATTGAGTTCTGCTAAAAGGATTTCTCTAAAAAAAAATTCTTCAAACATGGATATTCACATCTTGGCAGCATGAACAAACTGCTAAGAATACGGGTATTTACAGATGAAGGAAAAGAAAACAGCAAAAGTTTTCCTCTCAACATCCTGGCCAGCATATACCAATAATAGGAAAAATAAGTGAAAGAATAAGTTTAAAAAGTTGAAAATATAGGAAAATATTTATTTGGGATAAGGTGTATGTAAACCAACCTTACATTTTGGTTTAAAATAAATTAATCAATCAAATTAAATAAAATAATCACTATCCAAGCCAGAGAGATCTTTGGCAAATTTTAGACTTTGGGATATCTATGTTTAATCTTAAGGTCATTTTACTCCTATTTTCTTTGGGGCATTTATAATGAAGTATACACTTATTATTAAAATGGATAACTTTTTCTAAGTAGCATATACCCTCATGAAGACCATAGGACCTTCTCTGGCCATTCTTAGACATTATGATGACTTAAATTCATTAAAGGTTTTGTGGGATGAGGTGGTGCCCATCTATAATCTTAGTGACTCTGGAGTGTGAATTAGGAGGATGGAAAGTTCAAGGCCACCCTGGGCAACTTAGCAAGGCTCTGTTTTAAAAGGTAGCGGGGCTCTAAGGATATAGTTCAATGGTATAGCTCTTGCTTAACATATGTGAGGCCCTAGGTTCAATTCCTAACATCACAAACAAACGAACAAACAAAAAACAGTTTTAAGCATTTTTGCATGGGTTTTCAAAGTCCTTTGCCTATAACTTGTTAATTGCCATTCCAATTGGAAATGGAGGCAAAAAGATTTAACCTCATTGTCTGGATGAAGAATGACAAATAGTTTACTCACATGCAGCTTCCCCCGTTCTCTGCCATTCTTTTCCTCCCCTGAACCATCACATCTGTCTCCCCTAAATCCATCTTTTGATATCTCATTCTCTTTGTGGTTCTTTCATATATGTCAAAGACAAGTAAATCAATTCATTTTTGTTTTCCCATGAGCTTCAGCTGGTCCTTGCCCTTGAGAGCAACTCTGTTCCAGACCCCATCTCAAGTTCTTTTTTTTTCTTTGCAGAATTTATAGATTTATTATATACATTTTCTGTGAAATGGTGCTGAACTACCCCAGCAGACTTCAAGAACAAGGGGAATCTTTGAAGGTGATTAATATCATTGGTTGGAATGTCAATGCAACTACGAGAAATAATGATTTTAGCATACTGGAACTAAGAAGATAAATCACTGAACATTTATGATTTTTATCTTTAGACTACTCTCCAGCATCACATAATAACATTGCATTCAGTCAAGTCATGTTCCCTGAGGCAACAAAAATCTGATATAATTTTAAAACAAGAAAAAAGAGAAAAATAGGATTTCCTCACCAAACCTTGACCTAACACCCCAACCAGCCATCATATGGCATTATTAGAAATCATTTAAAGTAGAAGTCATCAGGTTAACTTATCCATAGAAAATGTTTATTTAGAGTCAAAGATCAAAATGTAACATATAAAAATTAAAGTGTTATGTGGTAGAAACTGCCACATTCAGGGTAAGGGCCCGCCAGACAAAGCAACAGTGCTTTGAGAGAAGTCAGTTCATCCACCGTGGTTATTTGTAGTTTCCTTCAAAGCTTTGTCTCTGGCAATAAAGAAATCTTACAAAGCCAACTCAAGACCTACCCATGGATCCCAAACATTTAACCCCATACTTTAAGTCCCATCTCAGAGTGACTTTCAGGAATATAATCAGAACGATACAGATGTGTTCAATTGCCTTTCCCTTTACATTTATTTGGAAAGATCTATAACAAGAAGATCTGTAAGCTTTGAGAACAGAAAACATGATTTAGATCAAATGAGATCAAGCAAATAAAAAAGTATTTCACAAATTTAAAATTGTTAGTTTTATGATTTCATATTTCGTACTCTTTATTATTTTCATATCTCACATTATTTTTCACACATGATTTCATATCATGTTAATACCTAACATTGTCATATAGCCAATGCTCAGTAAATACATATTGATCACTTTATGCTTTTCAAAACCTCCAGTGGAAATTTTAGCCAGAGCAATTAGGCAAGAGAAAGAAATAAAAAGCATATAAACAGGAAGGGAAGAAGTTCAATTATACCTGATTGCAGATGATATGATACTATCTATAGAAAAATGTAAAGACTCCACCAAAATACTATTGGAACACGCATTCAATACTGTTGCAGTATACAAAATGAACAGCCAAAAATCTGTAACATTTTTATATACCAATAAAATTACTGAAAAAGAAATTATGAAAGCAATTTCATTCACAATAGCT